TATGAATTCACCTCCTTGAAGAATTGACCACGGTAAAATTCGTAGCCGAACTGTACAGTCGCTATGCTAACGTATCCACCATTCGATCTCACGTCCACTACCTGCCAGGATTACGAATTTCACATCCACACACTGATTTTAAAATTTTCTACAGACAATTCTCTGCAAAGAGGTAAAGAACGAAAACATCCTCTTTTCTTAGATAACACAAACATAAATGTACAACACGTCGAGTATTTTACAGCAACATCGTAGGATTAACGAATGATGTATTTTTCATAAAAGTCTGTATTATGTTATCAAACGTTTTATAGTGTAAGACCAGTTTGAAACTATTCTGACTTTTCACAAAAAAAAATTCAAAAAAGAATAAAAACAAAACTAAAAAAACAACAACAAAAAAACAAACAACAAACAAAAAAAAAACAAAAAAAACAAAAAACAACAAAAAAGCAAAACAAACAAAAAACAAACTAAAAAACAAAACCCTTAGAACTTTTACTCATATCTTTCCGAAAAAGGTTTGAAAATAGTCATGCAACACAGAAATGAATCCTCTGAAGAAAAAATAATTTCATTTGCTATTATTTCATGACGTGGCCAGACATGGGTCTTCATAATAATCTGTCTGTTGTTATTCTATAGAGCGTTTCAAAAGTCACGCAACAATTGACAGAAAACGTACAGTTGAGGGAAATTTTGCATGACATCATCTATAATTCGACCAATAAAATTTCTTAATAATATATTGTCACATAAATATGGTTCCTTTTGGTAAATAAATATAAAATTTATAAGGTTGTGTAATGCCAGTTTTGGAACATCCCGTATGTAGCTTTTCTTCCTTTACATGTTCAGTCGGTTACTCGGGATATTCTCTTTACTAATTTTGTCGACAGAATAACAGTTAGCGTTAATTCTGAAGGACTTGTTTCTTTATTATGTGGCCTTGACATTTCCACATCTCCATTTTTATCAGTTATATTCTTGTTCTTATCTTCCTTAAAACCTTTTCATTAGCAAAGATCTGACCGTGATTTATGTAGAATTCGCCAGTAGAACTACATCTTTGACGCTTCAATTAAGGTCTTCATCCGTGATTAGATTTCCCAGGAGACAGATGTGCAGGTTAGTTAATAACTAGGTTTTCTATCATTTTAAGTTTAATCCATGGGCTTTGAATGGCAGACTGACTAAGTTGAAACGAGGCAAATAGTAAATGACCAACATAGTGATTTTCCAAGCGTAGCTTGGATGTGGCACAAGGTCGAAAGTATGGGGCACCCAGTGAGAATCGAACTCGCTATTCAGTCGTAATTGTTCTAGCGAGACAAGCTTGTTAACCATTGTGATTTTCCAAGCGTAGCTTGGATGTGGCACAAGGCCGAAAGTATGGTGCACCCAGTGAGAATCGAACTCGCTATTCAGTCGTAATTGTTCTAGCGAGACAAGCTTGCTAACCATTGTGATTTTCCAAGCGTAGCTCAGATGTGGCACAAGGCCGAAAGTATGGGGTACCCAGTGAGGATCGAACTCACTACTCAGTCGTAATTGTTCTAGCTAGACAAGCTTGCTAACCATTACACCGCCTCGAGATACCCAAAGTAGCTTAGATGTGCCACAAGGCCGGAAGTAGGGGGCATGCAGTGAGGATCGAACTCAGTTGTAACTGTCCTAGCGAGACAAGCTTGATAACCGTTACACCGCCTCGAGGTGCCCAACATTATATATATAAACAAAACGAGATATACTAATACATGGTCAGCTGAACGAGGACAATCTACTCTCTAAAAACAATGTTTAGTATGAAAATCTCGAAAGATTACTCGGATGGACAACAACATGACCGAAGTCCCAAGAGCACAATGGCTGAAACTTTGAGATGATAGTAACTAAAGTGATGACAGTAGCCTGAATAGAAATGAAGTAAATAATGGTAATCAATATCAATAGACAGAGTTAATCAAACACTATGACTTAATCACGAGCTTGGGGAGGACTTTGAACATTACAAGTTAAATAGCTTGATACAGTTCATAAGAATTTATCTCCGAATAAATGGTTAGATAAACATCACTTTTATTGATTTTCACATTTCCTTTTCGGGAGCTAGACTTTACGAAATTACGTGCAGTATTAGATTAGCAGCTCGGTCTCATCATTTTACAGTTGAAATTGCTAGATGTATCTATGATAACACCTTCTTCCAGTGACGGCCCTAGGGTTGCTGGCACCTCAGGTAATCTGAACTTCAACGCCCTTAAATTATATATTTTTTTTTAAATTTCACAAATAGACAAACTAAAAATGTAGACTAAGGAGTTTATATACAATACAGGCTAAGGAAAGTATTTATTATCCTACCTAAAACATCTTTTAGCGTTTCCATCAGACAAATATTTTCCTGGCATTTTATACACCTATTTTCTTTACAACATCATTTTCTACTGACAAAAAAAAAAATCAAAGGATTTAATCTGTTTTGAATCATGGATGACCGCAAGTATGTTTTTATACGCTCTAGTTTTGGAAGATCCCAAGCATGATGACGCCCTCGACCTTCATGAAGGCCTCGAGGTGCCCGTCTGATTTTCTAGTAGATTGAACCGGCCAGAATTTCTTATCCTGCACTCGTAGCTTGTGGAACTTTCTTTCAACTTCATTCCCATTCAAGTCGGACCCCACAAAAATTAAATACAATACTAATTGTTTTGCGTCCTGGGTAAGACGATAAACTACATCCAGCAGCAAGGCTTCTGATCAGGAGGTTTTGAAGAGCGTGGAACCACAGCTTAATTGCTGGTGTTCACAGATGCACCTTGATACAGGGTGGTCGTACCTGTTAGGATCCCAGCTATAGGAAAATAGTTTACCCCAGTATGATATTGTAAAAATAAGTTTTCATGCCAGCAATGCATTTTTGGAAAAATTTGTTACCAGCAATACGTTTAACCCCCAATACCCCCCAAAAAAAAACATAAAAAAAACAAAGAAACTAAAAAAAAAATTAAAAAAAAACACACCAGCAATATATTTTTGAAGAAAAAAAAAATATTAACAGCAACACATTTTTGAAAAAAAAAATACCAGCAGTAAAAATCTTGTCTGCATTAAATAACCCATTGATGTCGATATGCCGTGAACCAAACCAAATGTTATTTACTGTCTTAATTTTTGCAATTTTATTGTGTTCTCTCTTTAGATTTTTCTCATATTCTCTAACACTTCATAACCTCTTGCGTCTTAGTGGCTTTATTGCTTTACTTGGGGTAAAAAGAGTAAAAAAAGCTCTATTTTTATTTAACACTATTTTGTAATGTATGCTACAGGCTCCGCACTAGCTCAATCCGCCTATGTAAATGACCTCCCTACGGATTTAGTGGGACAACAAAATTAAAAGTTAATGCATTGCAATACTGGGATCTCTTTGCTTCACAGTCAACTTTAATCTCCAAGCATTTAAATACAATGTCAATGGTTATCTTCTAATTCCTCTCCCCTTTTATTGTTCTCTTTCAATGTTTTTCGTTTTCTCCTATTCTTTCACGCTCAGTAACCCCTCGCGTTTTAGTGGCTGTATTGCCTTGCTTGGTCATCAACGATTAAATAGAATCATTCTTATGAACTAGGAAACAAATGTAATAATAATTAACTGACGGCCACACAAACAGAAATCGGGCGGTAGATTTTATAACTATAAAAAGGATCATTAACATATTCAACACTGCTAACAGGTCCTCTCTTTGTAAATAGTAAATATTCGTATACAATACGCACTTTCCAATGAAAATTTTCAGCGTAATTTAAAAATATTTCCTTACAAACGATAACTAAACGTTAATATTATTTCCGGCCACGTCTTCCATCGTATTGGATATGGTAGACTCAGAATAAAGTTATATCGACAGACCAAACCGTGTAATCCGTAAGAGAATAAATACTAAAATCAAAAGACAATCCATTTTAAAATTATATTCCTATTTTCATTTGCTTCAATGTTGTTCGTGTCAAACAAACATCACGGAATTAGTTACTGGCAACATTTATTGTGAATAGACAATTTTAATAACTTGTTGATGCTGACGTCAAGTTTGGGCGCCATATTTTTCTAAATACGTTCATGTACGTACTTCAGATTCTGTGTAAGTTATTTCAAACTTATATACTATAGAAATTCTTATTTACACTATTTATATTCGGAATGTTGCCATATTTATTATCACAACGTTTCAGTCAATATGCTCTCCGGTCTTCTTCCGGCATTTTTATCTGGGTAATCCACAAGGAATTCTGAACTGAAATACTAAAGAGTATATTTATTCAATAAAATTGCCATAGACCTCAACAGAGGCCTCTAAACGACTTCGGGATCTCATGAAACTCTTCTTAGCGATCTCCTCCTTTTAGTTCGTCAATACTGTAATAATCTTTGCCTTCATTTCATCTTTGGTATTACGAGTTTTGTTGCTCTCTCGGTCAGCTGCGTCCCACAATCAAGGGGGTTGTAGTCAGAGAAGTTAGGTTTCCAGATGTAACGGGTGATGTGGTCACAGAAATTGACTGACAGCCATGACTAGAGTCTCCTTTAGTGTGGCATGGTGAAGAGTCCTGTTGCCAGACATAGCGTCTTCCAGCAGTCACTGTCTTGACACTGGGCTACGTTGATGTCCGCCTCCGGGTTCAGTCTGGAGTTCTCACAAACAAATTCGGGAGTTCTTATCAGAATGATCAGAGTGAGTTTTCCGAGATGGGCCCTACCTTCGTAATCATACTCCTCCAACTCTTTCCAAATCCTCTGCACTGTCCTCAGATTGATACCCAAACATTCAGTCAGTACAGCATGCTGTTTCCAAATTTCTGGCAGAGTGAGTTGCCTTATGGTGCTCATTTTCTCACTAACCATAATATACTGCGCAGTCAACAAAAATAAAAAAAAGAACGTGCATACGCAAAATTAAAAATATAAAATGGTGGCAATTTTTCTGTCGCACTCTGTATACTGTCGAAAGAAGAAGTGGAAAGGATACGGGGAAGAAGTGGAAAGAGAGGGAAGAAGGAGAGGGGAAGAAGTGGAAAGGGAGGGGAAGAAGGGAAAGAAGGGAAGAAGTGGAAAGGGAAGAAGGGAAGAAGAAGTGGAAAGGGAGAGGGGAAGAAGTGGAAAGGGAGAGGGGAAGAAGTGGAAAGGGAGAGGGGAAGAAGTGGAAAGGGAGAGGGGAAGAAGTGGAAAGTTCCAGTGGAATCTTAAATAAAGTTATGGCAAGATCGTACCTGTCTGAGAGTCAGTTCCAGAATCTTAAATAAAGAATTCATGCAATATACCGAAGTATAACGGCAGTCGGTCCAAGTTAGAAATATAGATCCTACACAGTAATAATCGATGTGAGACGCAAGAAGGAAGATGTCACTCGCTGGCATGAAATCGGCGCTAATGATTTGATCAGCACAATCAGGTTATCTTGAGTAATTAAAGTGATCTCTATCCGACTTCTTTTCATCAGTCACTTTCTAATAGCCATGTGCCGAGCAAGAAGTACACCCTTCATTCAGTCGTTGGCCAACGAGAAATAGAATCGTGCCAAGTCGAAGAATTAAGTTATGAAACATCCAGAATTCAGTAGAAAAAGCCATTTAATCCAAGAAATAGAATCTCCGAAACGTATGTAGCCTCACTGTTCCGAAGAAAAGTCTTGAAGTTCTGTCAAAAAAATTAAGCTAACACACACACAAATATATAACATGCATGTATACATGTATTACTTATACATTATTTTTAGTGGATACTCGTATTTTAGCAGACGCCCAGTTTATTAATCAGAATAAATATATAATTTCGTCTACCGGCCTGAATATTCGAGAAATCCTATTAAAGAAAAAAAAATGCGATCCCGAGTAGGATTCGAACTTGCATTCCCGAGGGAAACAGGCATTAGATCAGACGTGCTTTAACCTTTTACTTTGTCAGCGACGCACTCTGTTGCAGAGAAGACATATTAAAAAGAGCCAATGTGGAAAGGCCATCATTAAGCAGTAAATATATGAATCCCTTCTAATATTAAAAATTGAGGTAAACTGATCAGTTATACCATACACTCTCACACACACATATATATATATAAATATATTTTACATCGCTACACAAAAACCTTCATGTTTCGGAACTATAATATTCCTTTATCTGACCACGATAGATAATGATGAAATTGATTTATTACCTTATTTGTAAGTTATAAGGGTTGGGGTGGGGTTAAAAAAACTAATTTCAAAATTAAAAACATACTTGTGGGCATGACTGGATTAACCAATCAAGCGAGTGATCTAAGCTAAAAGGGAAAATGAAAAATAAGGTCAAAGGTGTAGGTAGGTGGGTTATAAATTCATGTCTACATAAACTGACATTTTGGCACGTCCAGCAGCAGACAAACTGTTGCAAATGAAGTTAAAATAAAGTGAAGTAGGCAGGGTTATATATATATATATATATATATATATATATACACACACACACACACACACACAACGATAGAGTGTTGTTATATATAATTAACAAAAAAAAAAAACTAATAATAAAAAGCAAGTGGCCCCAAAAGGAAGAGACTTAAAGACAATAAAGAAAATGGGATCAATGTCAAAATCAGTGAAAATTATATAAATCAATTTCCTGTTGCAGGTCTGTGTTTTTTGCGTGGCAGTAAAGTATTTGTGAAGCGGCCGATTAGACCGGCACCAGTTATATATATAAAGAAAAATATACGGAAAAAACAAACAAAAATTCTAATATGCAATTATGCTGTTTTAATGTTAATATAATGTCAACGTCGGACGTTTCGGCCTAGTAGACCATCTTCAGGACATATTCATAAAACATAGTTAACATTAGACTATATTTAATTCAACATGAAAAGACGATGGACATAAGAGTAAGACTAATTAAAACAGACAACTGAAATATATATAGTGTGTGTCATTCTAGGGTCTGACAAGTGAGTCAGCTGTGTATATGCTCCCAGTGTCCAGAATCCATTTTTTTTTAACTTGGAAGCTCAGTGACTGACAATCTTTTTAATCCATCTTTGTTTCAATGCTAATGGAAGATTGATTATATATATATATATATATATATATATATATACACACCCGGTTACGTATTCTTGATTTCACTACTTTTACAGTTTATTATGTACCGTAATATTCCTGTTTACTTGCCTTATGTATCTACCGTGACTCTTCTCTGAGACGTTTTCTTTTCCGCGCCTGTGCGCACAGATTTCGGTGTGTATTTAAGATATTACTTTATGACATTGGCAAACAACCTCGGTAGACACGCGTGTATACTATTTTAAGCGCATGTGTGTTAATATCTGGATATACACAGAAGCATATGCATCCAGATATACCTGGATATGGACATACAGATGCCCGTAGCAATGCTATTGATACAAACATGTTCGTACGTGGAAACGGTTGGCCGCTGTCCAGTCTTCCACCAACTTCAATCCGTTGGATATTGGCTGGCCAATATGAAGCACTTATGACCGGAAGGAATCTCTGTGAATATCTTGAATAGAATATGGCATTTCTCCAGTTGTCCACGGCACATAGTGAAATGGATCGGACGGGTTGATGCCGCGAGTGAATTTAAAGTTGCAAAAATTAGTAATCATAGTGTTTTCTCAATTCAAGTTGAGTTTAGGGTGACACAAATATTTCGATGAAATAAAAGTGAGAATTCGAATCACTGTGCTGAATAGAAATTAAGTGATAAACGGGTATAGCTTGGTAAGAAAACAAAGAAGTGTAGCTTGGTAAGAAAACAAAGACGTATAGCGTGGTAAAAAACAAAAATGTATAACTTGGAAAAGACAGAAGAAGTGTGAATATCTGCAATCAAAAGATAATTACAATAAGATTTTTTATTGCAACTATCACATGTCGAAGCAATTATCACCAGCCTTATTCAGTCTACAGAATATTTCGAGCCGTACACTGTATTTAATGGACGACAGTAGCTTGTTCTCATACACTTTTTATTTCTAGTGGTATCACGTTTTACTAGTAGGTATCCTCAGATATGGAGAGTTGACCCTCCCACAATAGAACATGCTTATTTAATGACATGTCCTTTCTGAACGTAGTCGCTCAGATTCCATTTTTTTTTATTCTCTGAGTTAGCCTGATGTTTTTTGTTGAGGAGTTTCACGTTGGCATCTGAACGGTTTGAAATTCACACGTTCCATTCTCTTAAAATGCGCGCCTCTCAGACCAGAGAGACAAATTGCCATTGATTTTTAAGTACTAACCAGGTGAGGCTAAGTAGGGACGCTTTCATTTATATCCCCAATAGCATTGTATTAAAAAGATTTTTAAGAAACTGTTACGTAATATCAGTCCTCCTTTTTGACAATGAATGCTGGGCGAACACCTCACAGATAAAGAAACTGAAAGCAACAGAAATGTCGTTCTACAGAAGGATGTTAAAAATACTATGGACAGAACATGTGAGCAACGACAAAGTTTTACAGAAAATAGAAGCAAAAACGACATTTATATTTAACTCAAGGAAGAGACAGTTGACATTTATCGGACACATGAGACAAGTTGAAGCCCATAGAAACGACAGAAACCAACGCATAATCTTCCTAGCGAGATTGAAAAAAATGAATTGAAAAATTGATACTCACGGGACGATTTGAAGGCAAGCGGTGTAGAGGAAAATAACGCATAACCTACTTAGAGAGCTTCAGTAAATGAATGGCGGGGGAAGTTTAGGAGAGATAACAAAAGCATAAAATTTATTAAGAGCTACAAAGGAAAGGAAATTGTGGAGAGTCATTATTATCAACGTCCTCGTGGCATACGGCACAGAGAAGAAGAGGTGTTAGTCGACACCATAACAAGGTTATAAATACATATATATTTTCGATAACCCAAAAAGGAAAACTTTTGACAACGCGTTTCGATTTCGTTGGATAGGCTTTTTGGGGACAGAAAAGAAAGTATTAAATCATTAATATCTGTTAGACTGGTGACTTCCAGTTGGAATAAAAGAAGAAACTGTTTTTTTTTTTTTTTTTGTGTTTTAGTATTAAATTTATCAGCATCCCCGTTACCAGCACTCTTGGTACATTTTATTAGGTGATTTCTTTTTTTCTTCTTAAAGAATATTCTTTTCTGATCAGAGTGAGAATAACTTGATAAACAGGAGTCGACGACGTTAAACCCTGAAATACGTTTTACTTTTCATATTTATTAATGAACATGCAGAGAAGTAGATCCATTAGGAAAAAGTTTATTTGCAAATCCACACTTCTCTCATTTTAAATTCAGTAAATTGCAATCAGACGTTTCCCCAGGGGCAAATATCAAATCATTTTAGTTTCTTTTTTTCTTCAGACATTTTCATTTGATTCGAATTCGTAATTATTTTTTCCGTAAACAGAAATTTAATCCAAATTTCTTTTTCATTGGCAAAATAAAATGTAAACCTTTTCTATGACAATCTTCTTTTTACAATACGGAAGCCTTTCTGTCACCATTGCTCTTTCGGCTTCTACACTTCTAAAAAAAAAAAAACGTAGTCTTAAAGATTCTGTTATTCTAAGTTAATAATTATCATATACTATTTGTTTGTTTCGTGCTTCTGTATTACGGATTAGTTCATCTTTCTATGTGATTGTTTTAGTGCCGTTTCCCTTAATAATATAAAGGATTTTGGCCCACCACGACTTGCTATTCTTTTTAGCTTTAGGGAATTTTTGTTCGCTTTTCCGGTATTCATTTACATAAGCTTGTTAGATAGATTAATTTAGGTGTTCGTGTCTGCCTCGATGGCATTCAGCCTGTGAATGTCAGATTCCCCAGCCCTTTTTTCATGGTGTCCTGAACAGCTTCTTTCTCATTGTAAGCGTCCTTTTTTATTCCCATATACTCATAAGTGCTTCTTACAAGGGGGTCTTAATTGGAACGGTTGGAATTTTTCTGTTTATGCAATAAACGGTGGGGTACGCAAAACCCCGTACATTGTTAACAAGTAGGAAAATTTTTAAGGGAGAAAATTCCATCTACCCGTGTCTTCACGGCATCTCCATCATTTCATTCTTTTCCTACCCCCGTGTTTAAATTTCTGAATTCTTCTCTCCATCCATCATCAATTTTCCTTTATTTTCAGTTTTATTCGTTTTTATTTAAACTTACACTTCAGTATTCCTTTCGACATAAATGCTCGTTCCTTTTATTTGGCTTTTCCTTTTTTCTCTAGCTTGCTTTCTTAACCTATGCCTCCATCTTTTGCCGATTTTCTATCACTCGTTTTTCTTTTCGTTTTCTTCAACATTTCAGTACTTACTCTCTTTTCCACCTCCAACATCCTTACCTCTGCTTCCCCCTCCACACTTTTGTTTACGCCTAACAATAGACAG